AGAGGGCTGACTAGCCCTGTCCTTGTAGCCACTTCATATCCAGCACCACTCACACACACACACACACACACACACACACACACCCGGCCAAACCATTTCTAAAGCAACCCAAACACAGCTTTTATGACATTTAATAACTGATATTCGACATTTAATCTCACATGGTGAATACCGAAGGGCAGTTCTTGCACAATAGACGAGTTGTCAATTTAATTTTCAATTAGGTTTATGGCCTTTCATCCATATAAACGGTAGATTAAGGCTGAAAGTTACCAGTACAAAACAATAACCTTCAACAACCTATTCATAGCATGGGTTGGTTGGGCTATTAATGCTATGAGTGTTTAATTTGAATAGGACCTGCTGAGTATAGGCCAGTAGGCCTGATGCATTGTTCCTCCATTCTTATGTAATATTAAGAACATTTTGATCCCTTAATTGGGTATTAGAGTTATGTTATTGATCAGGATATACGCTGATAACAACGTGTGTACCACTGACATCAGGTGAGTTGTGGGGAGGAGAATCACCTTTACGGGTTTAGCACTCTCCCATGAACGTAATAACAGTATGGAGAAGGTAGAGGGAGAAGAACAGCCTCTCCCTGCCACTACCATCAACAGCAAACTCCAATATTGCGTAATTATAACCACAGTAGACATTTCAAAGAGAAAAAAGGTTGCAAGTAAATAATGACTGCGGCAGACCTTCGTGATGTTGTGGGTTGAGGGAGACGAGGAGGGAAGGGAGGCAGAAATGTGGGAAGGAGGGAGAGAATAAATCAAATTATTTGATAATGAATCATTAATGAATAGGATAATCATAAATGAAGAGTATCCAGATGGCAGGATTATCGAGTAGGAAGAGAAATATGTGTGAAATTGTGTACTCACCTAGTTGAGGTTGCAGGGGTCGAGTCCAAGCTCCTGGCCCCGTGTGTGTGTGTGTGTGTGTGTGTGTGTGTGTGTGTGTGTATGCGTGCGCGCATTTGTGTGTTTTTTTATTTAGCAAAATTGGGTACATCTGCAGTGTGCTGCTTCGCTATTTTATATGATGATTACGCGGCGACTAAGTAACGTCAGCCTGAGCTGGGAGACTTCAGTAGCGTCACGCCAGTGTACGAGCTTGTGAGAGGGGGCGGGATATGGTCCGGATATGAACAGAATTATGTAACTACTTCCTTTGCAGGATTAAAATATTTTTACTGAATATTTTGTATATGAAATTATTTAAAATAAAGAATTTGAACCTGGTAATAAACTGCTACTATTAGCATTACTTTAAAGGGAGAAGTTCTTAGTCAATATGGTTTTGAATATAAGACACTTGTGCAATAATTGGTAATATTTATTCCAGAAACGTTTCGCCAGTCAGTGGTCTTCAGTCTAGTCAGAGAAACAGTGGAAGATGATGAGGAAAATGAGGTAATCAGTCCCTCACCCTGGAGTCGATGTACTGTGTCCGTCAATCTTGGTAAGAAGGCAGCATATTCGCGGGGACTGTATACTGTATACAAATGATGTGAAGCAGTGGTAGACGGAATCATCAGTGGAAAATCCCACTAGTGGAAATAACTTGGGTCTATACGTTAGAGAAGGTTTGAAGAATTCCCAGATGTTGCTGTGTCTGACACACCTTGAGAAAATGGTTTAGAAAATCGACAGAAATAAGAATAAGACACATGTTTTATTCATTAGACTGAGAAAGTCACTGGCTGGCCAAGCGTTTCCAGAATAAAAATTCCCAAGTGCAGTACAATGTCTTTTTCATCAAAAGGGGTTATACGTCACCTTAGGGAATGGGAGCCATTCAAGTTCGATTGAATTAATAATAGCGCTTGTCTATTTTTTCGATCTAAAGCTCCTCAACGGCATCAATGAATTTCTCTTGGTGGAAGATAATACTCATGTCTCTATGTGCTTGGTAATCAATTAATGTTCCTTCGGTTTTATGTTATCATGATCAGTAGCTATATAAAAGGCAGGTCAATGCATCCTTCTCTCCCCCCGTCAAACTATAAAATGCAGTAGGCCTATTGTAGGAGTCATTTATATAGCTATTGCCTACAGTTTTATGTTGGTGATGGTTGTAGTTGCAAGTGATCACTTTTCTTCCACCTTCACTACTAAACACGAAGACAGTGGTACAACCAGTCTGGCTATTTATCAGTTTATATAATGAACACTGAAAGTTTTCTTAAATACACATTTTAGGGATGAAGGTGTTTTTAAGATTACATAAGAACGTAAGAACATAAGAATGAAGGAACTATGCAGTAAGCCTACTTGCCCATACTGGACATGTCTTACTCAGATTCATCAATTCTCATTCATATATTTGTCTAACCTACCAAAGGTAATAAAACCAATAACCACAATAACCTATGCTAGGCATAGATAATTGTAGGTTACTGTACTGTGCTAGTGAATAGACGTCTGGAACTAGTTATGCAGGTGATAGGTGATAGGCCATAACCCTCACTGAAATCGAAATTAACAATTCGTCTATTGTGCCAGCCTTCCATACCGTATTCAGTTCCGTGGGATTGAATGTCAAACATCATTTTCATTAAATGCCACTGGAGCTAATCTTGGGACGCTTTGGAAATGGCTTGGATGTGTGCGAGTATGAGAGCGGCTGGATATGTGCGAGTGTGAGAGCGGCTGGATGTGTGAGAGTGTGAGAGCGTCTGGATGTGTGCGGTTGTGAGAGCGGCTGTATGTGGGTTGGCTGCCTGGTGTGGGCCAGTCAACTTTCAGTATAAACTCTACATGTCACTTATGTAATCTGAGATTTTCTGGCGAAAGCAGCTGCAGTCTACTGTTTCCTATAATTATTTTTGTCATTCATTATACTAGATACATTCAGTCTCAAATAACATATAACACCTTTCATTGTCATTCTTTCGTTTATGATATTGTCGCCAACCATTAATTCATCTGCAATACGATGGAAGAACATCTAACTCCTTGATGGGAGAGAGAGAGAGAGAAAAAAAAAAAACGCAAATGATGGTCGTCTCAAGGCACCATGACATCATTATGCTGGTGCAGTAGTAAGGATGAATGGGAGGGTGTTTGGCACCTGGAGAAGAAGCTGATATCCTTGGGGTGAAATCTGACTCCAAACTAACCATGAAGAACCATGTTGTAAATCCTGCAAACAAGGCAGCAAGGAAGCTTACAGCACTTCGCCGTATTTCGCATCTGCTTGACAGTAGGGGTTGCAAGATTCTGTTTGAGGCACAAGTACGCTCACACCTTAAGTATGCTCCACTTTCTTGGTTTGCCTGCCCCCCCCCCTCTCATCTGCGACTGCTTGACAGAGTAGAGAACAGAGCAAGACGTCTCATCTCTCGCCTGGACCCATCCTGGATAGATCTGTCATTTCAGCAGAGCCTTCAACATAGGAGGGGTGTGGGTGGCCTTACTGTTATGTACAAGGCCAATATTGTCAAAGTACCACAATTGGATCCACTTCGAGGACAGCGTGAAACAAGCTTTTATGCCACAAGACGGGCAGAAAGCAGCAACTTCACTCTGGCTGTACCTTTCTCAAGAATATCACTCCATCTGAGATCATATATACCCAGGATGACTCGAGTATGGAACACATTCGTATAGCATAATGATGTCAACGAGATAAAGTCAGTTGATCAAATGAAAATGCTGGCCCACAGATGGTTCCAACTTCATCCTGTTCCCTACTTGTATGTCTCATAACAATAAAAATGCTTTCAAATAAGCTGATGTAGGTAACAGCTCTTAGCTTGCCAATAAAGTTAGGAATCCTTAACCTGTAAATAGCTTGTCAATAAAGCTAGGGATCCTTAACCTTGTCAAACCATGTGTAAAAAAAAAGAAGAGAGAGAGAGAGAGGAAGGAGAGAAGAGAGAGAGAGAGAGAAGAGAGAGAAGAGAGAGAGAGAGAGAGAGAGAGGGAGGGAGGGAGGGAGAGAAAGAAACAGTTTTAACATCGCTTGCACAATACACTCTAACACCCAGAAACATCTCCCTGACTTTCATAATGTCAGTATTGTCATCAAGGAATGTAATCTATTACACTTAAGCTGTTTAGAATTGCTTCCCATCACAAATACAAACGCCAGGTATGTAGGTAAGGTAAGGCATACCTACATACCTTACACGCCGCATTTTTTTTTTAATAAATATTCCCAGGTGCAAAACACATACAATTTTATGATTTTGGAAATACTTGCCCAACACATCCCAAGCAAGACAACTGAACCAACGTCTAGCTCCGCCCTCCAGCACATACAACACCTGACGTCACGCACTGTATATTGTTTTTTTCTATTTAAATTTAATTAAAACATCCACTGGTTGAAAATATATCTCCTTAGTAAATGTCCTACTTTAGAGAGAGAGAGAGAGAGAGAAACAGGCAGACAGAGACAGAGAGAGGCAGACAGACTGTGACAGAGATAGAGACAGACACAAACACAGACAGAGTTAGATAGTTATCAAAGTTTAAACACAAATATCTCATTATCATACGACTAACCATGATTATCGTTTTTATGTTCACTGTCAGAGGGAAAGATCAGCAATGACATAATTTCCTTTGCATTAAACTCAGAGGACTAACTAATGACACATCTGCCAGTCATCGCCTCTGTTGCACAACTAAACATGTACACATTCATAACCAAACATTTTTTAGTACTGATTAGTTACCACGTGTCTCCATTGTCCCTTATTCGTCTCATCATCCATGTGGTCATCTGTACATTACTTTTAAAACTGTACACATTTCAGGAACAAAATTTTTCGAGCATGAGCCATATTTCCGCTTAAGCACATACATGCACATGCAGGCAGAAACACAAAATCCTTTACTCTAGTATTTGTAAACACTTTAAGTTGTGCGTACTGGAGAGACTGATTTCCAGCTCTTGGGAATCAACTCTGTTTTCATATGAGCTGTGCAGAGATAGCTAATAGAGCTAAATTTACCAATGGAATTGTTTTCGCTTGGCAGATATGAGGTGAAGGAGGTAGTGGGGTCACAGAAGTACAAGACACACATGCTGCTCACCATCAGCGAGGTCTCTCACGCAGACATCGGTGAGTACAACTGCATCGCCAACAACAGCCAGGGCGGTGCCGAGCAAGTGGTGCGAGTCTCAGCTTCCGTCCCCTTCCAACACAATCGTAACGCACTCGACAAAGGTTAGTTTGGGATCTATACCTGTAGGGAGTGATATGTACTCTACCAACAGCATTTGAAGGGAGAAAGTAAATTAGAACTTCTTAGCAGAGAATGGGTTTAGAGAGGGGTCAGTGGGTTGAGAGCTAATCTACATGGATGGATGGAGGATCGAAACTACTTCAAATAAAGATAAGGTGACTAGGGTGTATTTCAGAAAGACAAAGTAGTAAGTAGTATTAGTGTAGGTATGAGTGATGGAGGAATTGGGCAACAACATTGAGGATACGCCTCTCTACTGGTAGTGATTAGATGTTGGAAATGCAGGGATGGGAGGTGTACTAGGACATGTTCCTGGAATGCAAGGAGAAAACTGGAAGAAAAGAATGAGTTTCATGGATAGGGGATCTTTGCTGAGGCTAAGTAAATACTAGTTCTCTAAAGAGAAGGATATATAGTTATAAAGTTATATAGTTATATATAGTTATAAATACAGTAATGAATAGAGAAACATGTATCACTGCATGTAGCAGAAGTACTAAGAAGTCTTTGTGTGGTGATGGAGTTATTTAGAGATAGATGGAGTCTGTAGGTAATCTATGATAAGGAATTTCAAATGGAAAAAGAAGAAAGTGGTAGAACTCTTACAGAATCTGACGGGGTGCTGGGGATATAGGAGAGAGATAAGACCTGCACAAAATTTACGAATTAAAAATCTTTACGAGGAGACTTAGGTAACTAATCACTTCAAGAAGGTGACGGGACTTTTAAAGCTTTGATGAATAATTTTTGCATGGAGGTGACAATAGAATTTAAAATAATAATAATTTATAGAACGTATTAAGTAAAATTTCCGTATAGTTAACGAGGTCAATGTAGCTTTTAAACTAGTAAGCTAACGAGTAGCTAAATTTTTAAATGTTTTCTTATTTCTTTCCCAGGTTTCGAGAATAAGGACAACACATATGGCAAGCCTTCGCTCTCTGCTGTTAACTGGAGCAAAGACAATGGTAAGACTGCTTCCAGTATATGTTCATAAATTCAGAAATCTAAAATGTATATAAAATAAATATCAATAATGCAGCATTTAGAAAAATAACACATAATTAAACGCTTACGGAATTTTATTAGGAAATGTTTGGGTCGTGGGAGCAAATTCACAGGGATACATGTACCAAACACTGTGTGACACAAGTGAATAAGGTATTAATGAAATATCTTATGTTTGCTCACGTGTCATGTTCCTCACCTTGCTCATATCATATACCAAGTTGTTACTGTAGCATTTAGAACTGATTACCTAGATCAGCTTCTGTCTCTTCAGTACTTTCATTGCCACCATTAGATACACAAAAGTGTGCTGTTACCTGTTACCCAATGTATTAATACTTCTAGCAGGAGGGATTTTTTTTTTTGCCCATTAGCAGTTGGCCCAGAATATTACTTCCAGCAAGACTGGAGATCAGTTAGACTATAGTGTAAGGAATTGACAGTTGTATTCATATGACGGCAGGAAGCGAGGGATTGCAAAAAGGGAAAGGGAAGTTCTACTTCTTAAGAAGGAAAATTAGAAACTGAAAATTCACCTGGACAAAAATAACAATGAATGTGAGGTGGTTGGAGTTAGTGAAAGGAAATAGGTTACAAGCAGTGAGGACCTGATTAACAGCTGGTACATATGGGTAGAGGAAGAAATATGCAAATGAGAAAGGTTAAAACAAAAGACTTGAAGGTAGGAAATCTTTTCTTTGTTTGCCAGGATGAGTGTGTATCAGTGGTCATTGAGGTTAAAGGTACCAATAACTCCTCTGATAATATAAGTAGGAATATCCTGTGGTCGGTCACTCACAGGTAAGATATATTGACTGTGATTTCTGTAACAGAGATAGGAAGGTTAGACAGAGAGCGTGTCTCCCAGGAGATGGTGTTGGTGACATAGTCAACAGATTGTATAATATCATGTCAGGTAATAGGAACAAGCCCATTATTTGCCTCAGTGCTGGTGGAAACGATATTGGGAAGGGTAGGAGACAGGAGCTACTAGCTAAATACAGGATAGCTATAGGTCTAAGGGAAGGGTCCCAGTCACATCTATAATTTTGACTAGAAGATGAGTGAGCAATGAATGGATGTCTATGGCAATTGGTGTAAATTGCTGGTTAGATAGGTATTGCAAAGAACTTGCATTCCCATTCAAAGACAAATGGAACAAATTCTATGGCAAACATAATATGTATGCAAGAGATGGAGTATATTTATCTGGGGCAGGAGTAGTAGCATTAGCCAACTCTGTCGACGGGACCATTGCTGAGTTGTGAACGACTTTAAATTGATAAAAGATAGAGATATGGATGTGTATGGGAAACAATTAGATTCCAGTACAAGGGATGAAAGCGGCAAAAATTGCCAAGATACGTTTAAAAAACATTGTTCATCATAAAGTTACTAATAAACGCAGTGAAACTAGTCGACAAAGAGAGACAGTAGAGGCCAGCAAGTGTCTAGCTCCCTTGAGGTTTACTATACAAATAATATGAGCATAAGAAATGAGATAGATGAGCTAAAATTAAATGTATGTGCAGGAAACATAGACATTATTGCTATAACAAAAACCTGATTCAACATGAAAGATAGAGAAAAGCCTTCTGAATGCCACATACAGGGCAATAATTGTTCTACACTGATACAGATAATAGGATGGGTGGTGGAGTGGCGATGTATATCAGAGATAGTTTAAACTGTAAGAATAATAGTTTAAACTGTTTGGCTTCAGTTTCTGGAGGGGCATGAAAAAAATAATCTTGGGAGTGATTTACAGGCTCTCAAACTCTCATAGGGAACTTGGTATGCTTATAAGGGACAAAATACATAAGGCACCTAGATACAGAAATCTTGTGTTAATGGGAGGTTATTAACTTTAAGCAATTTAACAGAAATCTTCAGTCTAGTGACTTTCTTGATACAATTCAGGATTGTTTTTTAAAACAGTTTGTAACAAAACCAACCAGAGGGAAATAAACCTGCTTGACTTGATTCTTGCCAGCAAGAACCGACTAATTAATAATCTTGAGGTTAATAATGAGCATGAGGAAAGCGATCACAAATCACTCAATTCAATATATCATGGAATTACCTTAATAACTACAACCAAGTCATTATCCCTGACCTCTGCTTGGCCAGTATCAAAAGACTGAGAAATTACCTAGGTGAGGTGAACTGACTGGTTCTTATCCTACAGGTCAGGTTGGTGGTAATGGTTGCCAGAACAACATTTTTCAACACAGTTCTTTCCGTCCAGACTACTCATGTTCCAAACAGGGAAATTAGATCAAACAAAAATAACTAAAACATCTCAAAGGACAAAAGAGAGGCATTTACAAGCGATCAAAAAAGGAAGAGAAGCACTCAAGAAATCAATATAATAAATTGAAAAGATAAATAAAAAAAAGGCAATAAGAAAAGCAAAAAGAAATTATGAAGTTAAAGGCACAAGGGATTCGCAGATTAACTTAAAAGGTTTATTTCAAGTATATTGGAGTAAGATTAGGAACAAGATAAGTCAACTTAAAAGTTGCTCAGGTCAGCTCACTGACAGTGACAAAGAAATGTGCTCAACCTTCAACAATTGTTTTCTCTCATGTTTTACGAAGGAAGATACTAGAGAAATTCCAGAAGTGAAAAATTATGTAGACAGGGAAGAAAATAAGATGTGCACGATTAAAGTCATTAATGGCATAATTCTTAGACAAATAGATTAAAACGTAACAGATCCCCAGGCCTTGATGAACTGTTCTCAGGGGTTATAAAGGAATGCAAGGAGGAATTTAGGAAACCGTTACCTAATCTTTTCATCATATCACTACAGACTGACATAGTGCCAGATAAGTGGAAAATGGCAAATGTTATGCTTTCCTTCAAAACGATAGACAGGAAATCAGTTTTGAATTATAGACAAATTAACTTTACCTCAGTTGTGGGAAAATTGATGGAATCAGTAATTGCCGAGGCTTGAACTTGAACCTGTACGACCAGAGCTTTGGTAAGATGGAGAAGGAAGAAGGATGAGTAAGGATGGAAATATGGGAGAAGGGTGGGTGGGGGAGGTAAGGTGGGATAATACAGGTGAGTGGCCCAACCATTTTAGTGCATTTTAATATTGTGTGTGTTGTGTGTGTGTGTGTGTGTGTGTGTGTGTGTGTGTGTGTGTGTGTGTGTGTGTGTGTGTGTGTGTGTGTTGTGTAGTGTCATTAATGAAATCAGTTTCACTGAAAGGGGTATAACACTTACCCATCAGTTTCACACAGTTATAACAAACGTATAACTGCAAGACTCTGAATTGGTAAGGAATATACTATCTGCATTTTTTTTTTTGCGATTGCAGTGTGTAGGCTAGAAATGACGATAGCAAGGCGATTGATGTACATTGATTACTTCTTGGAGATACTGGTCAGCTTAGCTTCTTCAGAGGTGGTGTCCTGCCATAGTAGGTTTATCGATGTTACACTGTTAGATGTAATGGTTGATAAGTTGTAAAAGAAGTTATCATAAATTCGGGTGGTGTTATCCTTATTGGATATAAAAGGGTTCCGGTGTTACCCATTCATCTAAATCTTCTGGGAGGTCACTCAGGATCGTTGGTCTTTGGAAATTATCCTTATGGATGAATCGTCGCACTCTCTGTTGAAGGGTCATTCTTTGGGTTCTGTGGGGAGGTGTGCTGAATATATAGTCTGTGGTATTTGCAATTTGGGGAGGGTTCTCTCTGTCTGGTATATAAAGGTCTTGCATTGCGTATAGTTGTCTCTTCTTTAGTTTATCAATCCTTACATTTATTGCATCTATGTCCTGTCGGATGTGTATTATTATTATAATCAAAAAGAATGTCGGATGTGTAAATCTTCCATCCTGATTCTGTCTCTCCTTTTGGTGCCTGTGATGAAGCGAAGTGCTCTATTCTGGACTCGTTGTAGCTGTACCATGTTGGTTTTTGTTGTTAACGACATGGGGACACATGGATATTCTGGCATAGGTCATATCATCTTGTACAGGTGTGTTTTGATGTGGGAAGGAGCTTGATTGAACCTTTATAGACTGATGAGGTGGGCTTTTGCTAAATTTATCTTTTTAGTGATGTGAGATATGGAGTGGAGTAATCTGTCTATCTCATGTCCCAGGATCCTGTTGGGGTTTCTAACGGCTATAGGTGTACCTCTGATGGAGATACCCCCCTTCCCTGTCTCCTGTAGTTGTTGCTAAACATCCGATGCTGCTGACAAGGACTTTATCTGGTTTGGTCGTGATTCTCCATTTCTTCTCCCAGTTTGCTGTTCTTCGTAGTTCCATATTCATTTTTTCTATTACCCTCTCATACTTATATTTTCCCGTTAGAGGGGGGTGAATGATACTACATGGATAACATCATCAGCAAACTGGGTGATGATAGTATCACTGAAGTCGGGTTGGGGGAGATCGTTTACATATATGTTGAATAGTATCGGGCTAAGGCACGAGCCTTGTGGTACTCCAGCTGTCGGTAAGAAAGGCTCTGTTGGCTTGCCGTTAAAGGTAGGGATGATTTTTCTGTTTGATAAGAAGTTATATATAAATCTGAGAAAGGTCCAGTTGTAGTCAGGTAGGTCGACCAGTTTAAATATGAGTCCATAATGCTACAAGCTGTCAAAACTTCGTGTACATCCCTTGTGGCAAGTAGGACAAGGTTGCCCTTGTTTCCTCAGGCTGTCAACAGCATGTTTGGCTTCTCTGTGAGTCATGAATCAGAACTGTTTTTCAGTGAAGAGGTGATTGTACTCCATGTAGTAGTTTAATCTGTTGGATCTGATTTTCTCAAGCACTTTACCAGTTATGAGATAGTTATGAGATAAGTCTATAGTTCTATGGTTTATGCTTGTCTTTACTGGGTTTAGGAATGAATATCATCCCTGCTGTCTTAAGGGCCACTGGAAAGTGTCCCGAGGCCAAGATGGCATTAAAAATATTTACCAGAGTCATT